TGACATCATATCTAAGAACTTTTTGTTTAACTTCAGTTGATGAATATTTTCTTCTGTTTTCTTTTTTAAATATGCTTTGAATTTTCACATTTACATGTATAATCAATTTTTAGTTAGTCTGTGTATAAGGTGAAATTTAGGTCAAGGTTCATTTTTTTGCAGGATGACTAATTATTTCAACACTGGTTTTGGAAAGACTGTCCTTTCTCCTTTGAATTACTTTTGCACCTTTGCCAAAAATCAATTGGCCATCACCTCATACCCATCAGAATGACTACTGTAAAACAAAACGAAAAACAGAAAATAGTGAGTGTTGGTGTCAGAGGCGTTTGCGCCAGAGCAACTCCATCTTGAATAGGAGCTGGGTAAAATAAGTCGAGACCTGCTGGGCTGCATTCCCAGGAGGCTAGGCATTCTAAGTCACCGGATGAGACAGGAGGTCAGCACAAGATACAGGTCACAAAGACCTTGCTGATAAAACAGGTTGCAGTAAAGAAGCCAGACAAAACCCACCAAAACCAAGATGGTGATGACAGTGACCTCTGGTGGTCCTCGCTGCTCATTATACACTAATTATAATGCATTAGCATGCTAAGAGACACTCCCACCAGCACCATGACCATTTACAAATGCCATGGCAATGTCAGGAAGTTGCCCTATATGGTCTAAAAAGGGGAAGAACCCTCAGTTCTGGGGATTGCCTACCCCTTTCCCAGAAAACTCGTGAATAATCCACCCCTTGTTTAGCATACCATCAAGAAATAACTCTAAGTCAAGCAGCCCATGCTGCAGCTCTGCCTATGGAGTAGCCACTGTTTATTCTTTATTCCCTTACTTTTTTTTTTTTTTTTTTGAGACCGAGTCCTGCTCTATCACCCAGGCTGGAGTGCTGGAGTGCAGTGGTGCTATCTTGGCTCACTACAACTTCTGCCTCCTGGGTTCAAGCAACTCTCCTGCCTCAGCCTCCCGAGCAGCTGGGACTACAGGCACGCACCACTATGCTCAGCTAATTTTTGTATTTTTATTAGAGATGGGGTTTCACCATATTAGCCAGGCTGGTCTCCAACTCCTGACGTTGTGATCCACCGCCTCAGCCTCCCAAAGTGCTGGGATGACAGGCATGAGCCACCGCGCCTAGCCTATTCCTTTACTTTCTTAATAAACCTGCTTTCACTTTACTCTATGGACTTGTGTCCAAGAACCCTCTCTTGGGGTCTGGGTCAGGACCCCTTTTTGGTAACACTGGCAAGAATATGGAGAAACTGAAACTCCTGAGCACTGTTGTCATGATAACGTAACATGGTGTAGCCACTAAGGTAAAGAGTATGGTGGCTCCTCAAAAAATTAAAGAGAGAATTACACTATGATCCAGCAATTCTACTTCTGGGTATATATTAATAATAATATATACTAAATAATATATACTACTACTAATAATCAAACTTGATTTATCCTACTGTACTCTCCCAACACAGAGTACTTCAGACACCAGAAGTGTGTGGGGTTCCCCCCAAGACTGCCCCTCACTTCCTATGCCAATTGCAAGCCCCAGGTTGCTTTACCTGCACTTCTGACTGACTGGCTAGAAATGGGGGATCCCCACCTCTGGTCCGATTAATTTGCTAGAGTGGCTCACAGAACTCAGGAAGACACTTAACTCTTAACTTACACTTCCCAGTTTCTTATACAGACTATTACGAAGGATGCTGATGAAAAGATGCCTAGGGTAAAAGATGAAAACGGACGTGGAGCTTTTATAGCCTCCCAGGCATGCCACCCTCCAGGAACTTTCACAAGTTCAACTATTCAGAAACTTCCCACACCCTGTCATTTGCAGTTTTTTATAGAAGCTTTGTTGGGTAGGCATAATTGATTAAACCATTGACCACTGGTGATCAACTTAACCCTGAGCCCCTTTTTCCTCTCTAAAGGATGGGGCTAGGGCCAAAAGTCCCCATCTTCTAATCATTTCTGGTGACCAGCCCCCATCCTGAAGCTACCAGCCATCTGTCAACTCATTAGCATACAAAAAGACATCACTTTGGAGATTCCAAGGATCTTAGGAGTTGTATGCCAGGAAATTGGAACAAAGACCAAATATATATTTCACAGTATAACAATACCCAAAAGAATTGAAAACAGGGAATTGAACAGATATTTGTATAACCATGTTCATAGCAGCATTATTCACAATAGCCAAAAGGTAGAAGGAATCCAAGTGTCCATCCATGAATGAATGGATATACAAGATGTAGTACACATATACGAGAGAATATTATTCAGTGTTAAAAAGGAAAGAAATTCTGACAAATGCTACAATATGGATGAACCTTGAGGACATTACATTAAGTAAAATAAGCCAGTCACAAATACTATATGATTACTTATATGAGGCACCTAAAATAGTCAAGCTTATAGAAAGAGAAAGTAGAATGGGGGTTGCCAGGAGTTGGGGAAAGGAGAAAAGGGCAGTTGTTGTTTAACGGAAATAGAGTTTGTTTTGCAGGACAAAAAAGTTCTGGAAAGTAGTTGTACAACAATATGAATGTATTAAACCATACTGAACTGTATACTTAAAAATGGTTATGATGGTAAATTTATGTTACATGTATTTTACCACAATTTAAAACAATCAATTGGCCATATTTGTGAGGATCTATGTGTGGGTTCCATTCTATATGTCTAAGTCTTCTCCAATATCACACTGCCTTGATTTCTTAGCTTGATAGTGTCTTTTTTTTTTTTTTTTTTTTTGAGACGGAGTCTTGCTCTGTCGCCCAGGCTGGAGTGCAGTGGTGCCATCTCGGCTCACTGCAAGCTCCGCCTCCTCGGTTCACACCATTCTCCTGCCTCAGCCTCCTGAGTAGCTGGAACTACAGGCGCCCGCTACCACGCCTGGCTAATTTTTTTGTATTTTTAGTAGAGACGGGGTTTCACTGTGTTAGCCAGGATGGTCTCGATCTCCTGACTTTGTGATCCACCCGCCTGGGCCTCCCAAAGTGCTGGGATTACAAGCATGAGCCACCATGCCTGGCCTTTTTTTTCTTTTTTTTTTTTGAGACGGAGTCTCGCTCTGTCGCCCAGGCTGGAGTGCAATGGCGTGATCTCAGCTCCTTGCAACCTCTGTCTCCTGGGTTCAAGTGATTCTCCTGTCTCAGTCTCCTGACTAGCTGGGATTACAGGAGCCTGCCACCACGTCTGGCTAATTTTTGTATTTTTAGTAGAGATGGGGTTTCACCATGTTGGCCAAGCTTGTCTCGAACTCCTGACCTCTGGTGATCCGCCCACCTTGGCCTCCCAAAGTGCTGGAATTACAGGTGGAAGCCACTGTGCCTGGCCTTGATAGTGTCTTAAAATTGAACATTGTTTATTTTTTATGTGGGGGAAGGGGGTGAGGTAAGATGGATAGCTATAAACAGAACCACTAGTATTGTAAATATATTCTTAAATAAACACAATGGACACAGTCTGATAAGTTTTATGCTGAGAAAGATGGGGCCATGTTATATTCCTTTGTTTTCCAGTGCCCAGGCCAGTGCCTAACTACCATGGAGTAAGCACTCAATAAATGAGAAACAGTCTTGGAAAAAAATAATCTGAGCACACAGAATATTTTCCAGCGTGCACTACAAAAAACATGTAGTCAAAAATATCCATAGAAGTGTTGCTTAGAATGGGGCAAAAGCCCAAGGAAAAAACCACCCTCGCAGGGTTAATGAGAATTACAAGCCAGGCTTTAGGCTGAATTGTGGTCAGGCATCAACCAGGCACTGGTGTGCTCTGACTCATCTCCCTGCAGCTGCTAACCAATCGAGGGTCACGCAGCACACTGACCACCTGCTCCCCCACTGCTCCCATAGATAGAATCTGACACGAGACCTTTTTACCTAAGAATTGCTTAAGGTGTTTTTCAGATCCTGAATTCCAGCTGAATGGCTGATGCCAACCGGTCTGAAGACCCCTACCAAGAAACCGATTCAGCATCTCCTGGTCCCGTGACCTCACCCCCAAACTTCTCAACCAATCAGCAATCCCCATACTTTAGACCATCATCTGTCCAGACCCCTTAAAATCCCCATCCCCAAACCTCTCAGGGAGGCAGATTTGAAGAGTCCTCTCATCTTGTCTTCTTGTTCAGCTGCCCTACAATTATTCAACTCTTTCTCTGCTGCAATCCCCACTGTTTTGGTGCATTGGTTTGTTACCATGCAACAGGCAATCAAACCTGATGGTTCTATAACCATATTCAAGTGAAACTGAGAAGTAACTATATAAATGTGAAACAGAGAGGTGTGACTTAGAAATTGTACACATTGGGTGTCACAACTTCCCTATACTTTGTGTTTTCATACTGACCTTGTTCAACACTAATAAAGTGCCAACTTTGACTGACTGATTGTGATTCTGATGATGATGAGAAGGAGGAAGAGGAGGAGAATAGGAATACGGTAAGAAGATTTTAAACCACTCTCTTTTCTCATCTTCCAAGTATTTACAAGTGGCTCAGTTTTTCCAAGTATTCCTTTCTTTCTACAGAACTTCCATTAAAATAAAAAACAATTCTAAATCAAGCCTTATGGACAAGAATTAATGGTTCTCCCTAATATATCCCAAATCAGTGTGTCATTTGAGTAAGTCACCTCTCTCCCAGATTCTTATTTGTCCTACATGTAACTGGGGTTTTGCAACAGATGTTACTCTTCCTTCTCCTTTCCAGGTCTGTTAGAAACTGTACTAGGAAAGCCTGAAAGTAAAATCTGTACTGTATATAAATCCAGAGAAATGTTGATACTGACTAAATAATTTCCTCAAATCTGGTCACCTTTCTATGGGAAAATGCCTCATCTTAACAATATTTCATGCATAAAGTCATTTGGCCTCTTACCTGCATTGTTGGATATTTTTAAGACCAAAAGCTTGCTAAACCCAGAACAGTGAAAGCATTCAGTTGAAAATAAAGTGAAAAGCCACATATGTCTTAGAGGGAGAAAACAGTGCTAATGATTTTAGGCTTTAATAGTTTCAAGATCCCGACCGGCTGTTCTCAAAAGCCATCTTTGCATTGTTCCTCCTCGGGCTCCTTGCTCGCCACAGACTCCAGCAGCTTTATCGCCAGAGTCCCTGAACTGTGCGTGCTCACGTTCCTTCCTTCCTTCCTTTTTTTTTTTTTTTTTTTTTTTTTTTTTGGGGTTTTTTTTTTTTTTTTTTTTTTTTTTGAGAAAGAGTCTCACTCTCACCCAGGCTGGAGTGCAATAGCATGATCGTTAGTAGAGACGGGGTTTCATCGTGTTAGCCAGGATGGTCTCGATCTGCTGACCTCGTGATCCACCCGCCTCGGCCTCCCCAAGTGCTGGGATTACAGGCATGAGTCACGGTGCCCAGCTCTCGCTTTCTTTTTAATCCCCTGCATCAGATCACCAACGTGCCCCACCGTGTCAGATGCAGCCCTAGACACCAGCTCCGAAATCATCACCAAGGACTTAAAGAAGAAGGAAGTTGTGGAAGAGGCGGAAAATGGAAGAGACGCCCCTGCTAATGGGAATGCTAATGAGGAAAATAGAGAGCAGGAGGCTGACAATGAGGTAGATGAGGAAGAGGAAGAAGGTGGGGAGGAAGAGGAGGAGGAAAAAGAAGGTGATGGTGAGGAAGAGGATGGAGATGAAGACGAGGAAGCTGAGTCTGCTACAGGCAAGCCGGCAGCTGAAGATGATGAGGATGATGATGTCCATACCAACAAGCAGAAGACCGACAAGGATGACTAGACAGCAAAAAAGGAAAAGTTAAACTGAAAAAAAAAAAAGGCCACCGTGACCTATTCACCCTCCATTTCCTGTCTCAGAATCTAAAGGTGGTCACCTTGCAGTATTGAGGCCCACCCGCCATGGGCAGTGCCACCCACAGATGACACACACTCTCCACCACCCAACCCAAACCATAAGAATTTGCAACAAGGGAGGAAAAAGAACCAAAATTTCCAAGGCCCTGATTTTTTTCTTAAAAGTACTTTAAGAAAAGAAATTTGTCTGTGTTTTTTATTTACATTTTATATTTTTGTACATATTGTTAGGGTCAGCCACTTTTAATGATCTCGGATGACCAAAGCAGCCTTCGGACCGTTCTTTGTCCTACTTCTGACTTTACTTGTGGTGTGACTGTGACCACGTTCATTATAATCTCAAAGGAGAAAAAAAAAAAAAAAGCTTGTAAAAAAAAGCAAAAACGACAACAGAAAAGCAATCTTATTCCCACCATTCCAGTAACTTTTTTGTGTATGTACTTAGCTGTACTATAAGTAGTTTGTATGAGATGGTTAAAAAGGCCGGCTGGCGTGGCGGCTACTCAGGAGGTGAAGGTTGCAGTGAGCTGAGATTGTGCCACTGCACTCCAGCCTGGGCAACAGAGTGAGATTCCATCTCAAAAACAAAAAGGCCAAAGATAAAAGGTTTCTTTTCTTTCCTTTTATTTTTATTTTTTTAAGATGGAGTCTCGCTGTGTCACCCAGGCTGGAGTGCAGTGGCACCATCTTGGCTCACTGTAACCTCCACCTCCCAGGTTCAAGTGATTCTCCTGCCTCAGCCTCCCGAGTAGCTGGGATTACAGACGCATGCCATCACACCCAGCTAATTTTTGTATTTTTAGTAGAGACGGGGTTTCACCATGTTGGCCAGGCTGGTCTCAAACTCCTGCCCTCATGATCTGCCCGCCTCGGCCTCCCAATGTGCTGGGGTTACAGGCGTGAGCCACTGCGCCTGACCTTTTTTTTTCCTTTTTTTGTCTATGAAGTTGCTATTTTTTTCGGGGGAGGCCTGTTTGATGTATGTGTGAAACAATGTTGTCCAACAATAAACAGGAATTTCATTTTGCTGAGTTGTTCTTAAAAAAAAAAAATAGCTGCAATGTCCCAGAGAGAAAAGTGATAAACAAGTAGGCTTTCAAAAATATCAAGGTTATTGGTGTTTAAAATCAAACTATGGCTAGGCACGGTGGCTCACGCCTGTAATCCCAGCACTTTGGGAGGCTGAGGAGGGAGGATCACTTCATGCCAGAAGTTCAAGACCAGCCTGGCCAACATGGTGAAACTAAAAATACAAAAATTAGCCAGGGGTAGTGGTGCACACCTGTAATCCCAGCTACTTAGGAGGCTGAGGCAGGGGAACCACTTGAACCTGGGAGGCGGAGGTTGCAGTGAGCTGAGATCACATCACTGCACTATACTCTGGGTGACAGAGTAAGACTCCATTTCAAAAAAATTTTTAAATAAAATCAAACCATTAGAGTAGTTCAGACTTCCCCTAACACTTGCAGGGCCCAGACTAAGAATGCAAAAGAAGGCCCAAATATGCTACATCCAGGTATTTAAGTTGCAAATCGAATTAAACTGTCAGAGAAAACATGCTCTATCTTCCTAGCTTGACAAATGCACCTTTCTAAAATATTAAACGTTTTTTTTGGCAGGGGGTGTGGAGGGGACAGAGACTCGCTCTGATGCCCAGCCTGGAGTGCAGTGGCACGATCTTGGCTTGCTGCAACCTCCACCTCTCGAGTGCAAGCAATTCTCCTGCCTCATCCTCCCAAGTAGCAGGATTACAGGCATGGGCCACCACACCTGGCTAATTTTTCTAATTTTTTAGTAGAGACAGGGTTTCACCATGTTGACCAGGCTGGTCTCAAACTCGTAACCTCAGGTGATCTGCCCACCCCAGCTTCCCAAAGTGCTGGGATTACAGAACATTAAACTTTTAAAATTGGTTTAAAGCTCTATTTCTCCTAAAGTTAAAAATGGAGCTAGTGCAATGGTGTGCACCTATAAACTCAGCTACCCAGGAGGCTGAGGCAGAAGGATTACTTGGCTCAAGAGTTTGAGACCAGCCTGGGCAACACAGCGAGACTTTGTCTTAGAGAAAAAAAAAAAGGCAAAATGTCAAGATAATTGAGTGTTATTATGGTTGAAAGTGTCTGGATGCTCTGATGATAAGCTGGTGATTTGGGGATGAGCAAAAAAATAAAATACATATTGCATTTTTTTTTTTTTTTTTGGCCTTCACTTATTTTATTTTCCAAGACGGAGTCTCACTCTATCACTCAGGCTGGAGTACAGTGGTGCGATCTCGGCTCACTGCAACCTCTGCCTCCGGGGTTCAAGCAATTCTCCTGCCTCAGCCTTCTGAGTAGCTGGGATTACAGGCATGCGCCGCCATGCCCGGCTAATTTTTGTATTTTTAGTAGAGACGGGGCTAGTCCTACATACATACAAATGTAAGAATAGCATGCATCATTCAGTGTTACAAAATGTTTCTCAGGTCCTATACGCAACTGTGGTGAATACCAAAGTAATTTAAGTACCTCAGGAATCAGAACTGGAATGTGACAAGAACATGAATGCTCAGCATACCAATATTTCAATTTGGCAAGAGCTAATTGCTTTCATGCTATCCACGTGTAAGGATTTGGCAGGCAATTATGTTTGTTTCTTCCCTAAGTGCCTCCTCCTCTGGAATCCTTCCTCTAATTGGAACAGTATCTGCTTTGACATCAATGGCATACAACCCACAAACTCTCATGACCTTCGATGCAGATGCCTTGTGTTTTGGGAGCATAGATCAAGAGATATCTCTTGGTGAGCAGCGTTGCACATAAGCGTGGGTGTTTAGGGCTTTAGGTCATGCTGTGCCAGAATAGGGCATGGGGTCCTGAGAGACGAAAGTACCATTTGCCTGTAACAAAGCAACATAGGTATTGGGGTGTATAAAATGTGTTGGGGTGCTAGGGTTCAGAGCAGGGTCCCTCTTGCCTGGGTCTAAAGGAGATACTGCTGCAGTTCATGAACAAAACATTTGTACTAATTATGCCAAGAAAATTCTTTGTTCAACCTGATTCTACCCCTTTTAGGTATCCAATATAATAAATTACAACTCCATAGTATTAAATTAATATCTTCTGAAAGTAGAATCATAAGAACAATGGAGAAATATAGTAATAAGGGAAACAATAAATTGGGGTCCTGTTCACTAGCAAATCGTGCCTGTTCATTGTTGAAAATGTGAAAATGAAGGGAAATAGCATTATTTCCTAAAGCACGTACACAGGGTAGAGCTGTTGTAATTGTGTTTTTGTCTTTTTGCAGTTCAGAAAGTTTCCTAGGCCGGACGCAGTGGCTCACACCTGTAATCTCAGCATTCTGGGAGGCTGAGGTGGGCAGATCGCCTGAGGTCAGGAGTTTGAGACCAGCCTGGCCAACATGACGAAACCCCATCTCTACTAAAAATTACCCACTTTCCCTAGTTCATTCAACAGTGGGATTCCTGTGGATTTATGTTTTCTAGTTTTGTGGGGGGAAAATCAGAACTACTTTGCCAGAGGAAGTAAAAGTTCAGCTGAGACTTAAGGAGATGGCATTCAGCTACGTGAAGTGCAGTAATCCAGGTAAAGTATCGACCTATATATCCCCCTGGTTCTCAGTAGTGCTCAGGGGACATTCCCATTAGTGATGATTCACGTGGCAGTGAGCAGGAGAGGCAGCTGACTGCCACGCAGGACCACTGTTGCTTTACTCCTAGCTATTTCTCTTGCTCAAGCAGTAGTATACAAGTGGGCATGTCATATATTAAAAAATACATATTCAATATACACAAATATGTATCATATATTATTTGTATTATATATATCTATAGGTATCCATCTATCTATCTAGGAAACAACATTAAGAAATGTAAGAGCTGGTCCCTTGCACTGGAGAAGTTTATACAGCAGTGAAGGATATAAACAGGAGAATCAGACTTAGGGAATATGAATAAGGAAAAAACATCACAAAATACCAGGTGAGTGAGTGACCTGCATCACACTTGCACTTAAAGCTTCATCTCTTCACTCCCTGAACAACCAGTGAAACAGAAGGCAAGGACAGGGGAACTGGCTGCCAGCTGATTTTGATGTCTTATGCCACCAAGAACTTCTTTCTGGCCTGGAGCAATGGCTCATGCCTGTCATCCCAGCACTTTGGAGGCTAAGGCAGGCGGATCACTTGAGGCCAGGAGTTTGAGACCAGCCTGGCCAACATGGTGAAACCCTGTCTCCACAAAAAATACAAAAATTAGCCAGGCGTGATGGCGCACACCTCTAGTCCCAGCTACTTGGGAGGCTAAGGCATAAGAATCGCTTGAACCTGGAAGGTGGATTTGCAGTGAGCTGAGATCGCGCCACTGCACTCCAGCCTGGGTGACAGAGCAAGACTCTGTCTCTGGAAAAAAAAAAAGAAGTTCTTTCTGATATCCAGGACCTCTTCCGTTAGAAAGAAAAACACCACGAAAAGAAACCAGTCACCCCATTACAGTGTGCAGGTAAAGAGCACCGAGTTAGACCTTTTCCTCCAAGGGCTGGTCCCAAGCTGCAACCTGGGCACTCCTATAGTTAGATGCCTGTGGTATGCAGCGGCTCCGCAGCCCGAGGCCTTTGCTTTGCAGAGGCTGGGCTCATCCCACTTACCTGGGCCTGGTGAAGAGGGAAGGGAGGAGAGCCAAAGGTATGGGGCAAGAGAGGGTGAGGAGAAACAAGGAAGACAGAGACTGCAGCACTCTATGGTCAATGGCATAAAGGACGGTTGGCCACCTGTTGTCAGGGCCACTGTCACAACCTCCTGCCATGCATGGGAGGGGAAGGGCTGGGCCTGGGTGCTACCTAGGAGGGGCATCCATCCGTATTCTGGATCTCGGCTCCACCTGTGCCCCTTCCCCTCTGGAACTCCCACCCTCACCTGCGTCTCTCTGCTGGGTTCAGTCTTTCCTTCAGGGGAAACCTCTGGCACTGTTTGTCCAGGTAAAATCAGAGCCCCGGCTTTATTCTGGGAAGTTCTGACTAATAATTACTGGGTAGAAGAGGGAGGAAGCAATGCAGTAAATCAAGAAAGGAATAGGCACTGCTGAGGCCTCCACCACTGCGTTGTCACCGTGCTGTTGTGGTGCTGCTGTCAGCACCCCCGGGCCCACTCAAACCTTTCCATTTCTTACCTACGTTTGGTCTCATTAATTCACATCTAGAAATGTATTCAAATGAAAAACAATCCAGGATGTATGCATACATTAATTTTCAGGGATGTTTAGCAAGGCTATTTGTGGTAGAAAAATTGGAAGCTGGAAGCTACATAAATAAACTAACAATAGGTGACTGATTCTAAATCATGGAATTTCGTTTGGGAAAACTTTGTTTTTTGAGACAGAGTCTAGCTCTGTCACGCAGGCTGGAGTGCAGTGGTGCGATCTCGGCTCACTGCAACCTCTTCCTCCTGGCTTCAAGTGATTCTCCTACCTCAGCCTCCCG